ACGGTAGTGGGCTAGACTATACAGCTGAACTTCTCTCGCACAAATGAACACTAAGTGCTGCTGCTCTAGATAGCTCAGCTAATGCCTCCCGATCAATATTCACAAAAGAATGTAGGGACCCAAATTTGCCTTCGAAGACAAGTAAGAATTACTGCGGTCTGCAAAAGGCTTGAGCCATGTGCCAAATGTGATTAGAGCCAAGCTTAAAAATCCAAAAAAGCTGAAGATCTACAGAATGTAGATAAGCGTAATTTGCAGAATCCTAGCTATTTTCACTTGCATTTGCATCTGAGCCAAAGACACACGTCCAGCCCGGAAACTCATCTCACAAGTGCACATGTACGACTCCTCCCCATTCGTAGTGACTTTGTCAATAATGTCGATTATGCGAGTGTCGCGGCGACGAAGGGAAGCGTAACATCGAGAGAGCGCGAAGAACTTTCAAGAAGAGTGGACACTCATGAGGGGGAGTACGGTAGTTTACGGTAGCAGAGCGACAAGAAATATGGGTGTCTTCTCAGAAATGAATCACAATTTTGTCTTCAAAAACGTGGAACGCTTCTCGTAAACTTTACGTTGTTTTTCAGAAATAAGAGCGCTAGTACTCACTATGGTTATTTCTCGAACCAAATCGGAGATAAAATCGGAAATAAAAGCTGTTAGGATTTATGGAGCTTATCATGAAAATTGGGAAGGCAGAAGACTACAAAAAAGATTGTTAACGTTCCACTCCATCAAATTCAATATCATGAAGACGAAAGGCGATAGGGGGAGGACTCTGAGCGGAAGGAAGTAAACAAGAATATCCAAAAGATAATCTAAAGCGCTCAGTACTCGATGAGATTACCGGCGAAACCTCTATAAAAAGAGATTGGATTCCCAACATGCAAACTAAACTTTAACGAAATTTTCTGCAAAGTACAACCAAAAAAGAAAGAACAAAATAGAAAAACAAACTAGTATAGCTTAGCTCCCACCTATAGAGCCCCATTCGATAGGAGAGACGTAAGCGATCGTTTCAAAGCCTCTATGAGTTCTTTCACGTCGGGTCCTGGCACACAAGCGCCACGCCTCGGCGAACGGCTGGAAATGCGGCAGTCGAATACCATAAAAACGCTCATAATTGCTAGTCGTCAGAAATTGGAATTAGGCCAAAAGAAACTTTAGCAACTAGATATACAGTAATATAGGGAAATTGGAGGTTTCTGAGGAAAGTTCAAAAACGGGTCCGAAAAGTGTAAGTGTAAGAATTCTTGAACCACAAACTTACCTTACTCATGTTGAAAAGAGTAGCCGAAGCTTGAGATTGAGAGATTAGACCGCTATTGTTCTGACCGTGCTTACACACAAGTTTTCAAGATTGGCACATAGTTGTAGTGACATATCTAGTTTGAAAGCTTGCTGGATATTATCACCACACACAATTATGCATTACTGTGCACTTGCACTTTGAAGTACGCAATTACATATAGCTTCAAAATGTACTCGACTATTGTCAAGTAATGGTGACCTAAAAGAAGTCTAATACTTTAGAAAACAGCTATAAAGTAGGCATTCACATGCCGCAAAATCGTAAATACATCTGTTTCATAACACACCTGATTCTGTTTTAAACACTAGATGGTGAGACCTAAATAGTTTGTTTCGGTTTATTGATGTTTATGATTTACTCAAGGTTTAGACAGAGTGAGTACTCCTTCTCAGTTGTAAGTTCTTAAGCTTCACTAAAAATGGTATCGAAAAGTCAGTCTTGACTCAATGCGGGGCTTTGCACACTCCCTTTTTCAGAAAATTCGGAAGCCGATGTTCCGATAAATTTGGTGCTATACTGCGATTGTTTTAATCTATTCGAACCAATTTGTTTTGAAATACCAAGCTTGGAATGCCATATGCATATTAGGCTAGGAATGACTAGACTTTTGCAAGAAACACAAGCCCGACAAGGAGTCAGAGAGCGAGACAGAGACTGCCAACCAAAAAACCGAACAATGATGAACTTCAAAGCGGAACTATCTGGAAAGATGCAATCTAGGTTCCCTCATAGGTCCCAAAGGAAGCACAAGCTGTGTCCACCGCATGATAAGGAAGCAAAGGAACAGACTGACGATGAGATTTTTGTGAGAGCGTACGGTTCTCACGTGGTCAAACGTGCATGCACTTGTGGAAATCAAATAAAACATGACGAGGAAACAAGCAGGACGTGTTAGAACAAGTGAACAAGTGTAAAGTGTACCAAACATGTTGGAACTAGTTGAGCGCTGAGAAAGTAAGCATTTGAAGGAAATGGTCCATTCAATCAATTAGTAATCATCCCATACCAATTGGTCATTCATTCACTCATTTTCATAATTTGTTCTGCAGATAAATGCAAAAAGTAGAAAATTGCGCATTTCTCGTTAACTGAGCTATCGCTTAAATATCGGGAGTTTACTAGAAAAGAAATACTACACAAATTGAGTTTATGATAAAAATTAGATGTAAAAAGAGCAAAAATACAAAAAACGACGAGTATACAATGCAGAAAATCGACAGCGACTGACTGAAGCATCCGCAGCGTCCCCACAATCGATTTATCGACTGTAGATGTGATCTTTTGATCTCCATTGCACAGCGCGGTAAAAGAAGCTAATCATGTTTTCTCGATAGAATAGCTGATAACTGAAAAGGGCAATGTGTCGAGGAAGCAGATTCTATAATTAGGAAGAGTCTTGTCTTATGCTGAATCATTTACATGGAGATATTGATTTAGATGCAAATTTTTGGGAATGAAACAAATGCTTTTCAAAAAGCGCGGTGTATGGTGAAGTATGGAGTTCCGCGGATGTATGGGTCAAAGATTGGTGCGGGAAATATATACTGATGATCCACTTTTGGCGCATGATCAACTGAAATGCATGAGTATTAGCCCCCAAAAAGTGAAAGTTAGAAATCCTGCCCTACTTCCAAATTGAACAAATTTTCGAATAAAACCCCAAATAAACGAGTTGGGACTAAAATGTAGGAATATAAATCAACCTATAACGAGAACCGAAACAGCATCTCATCTTCTCAACAGCCAGCAGCCAACAGCAGCAGTACCGAGAGAGAGAGATGGGGAGAGGTGGACGGGCCTCGACGGGGCGCTCTGCCAAACACTCTACGTCTCTGACTGTCTCCGTCGAACACAGCCACTGTGACTCTCGATGTCTGGCGTCTGTAGCCGGACATTTTTGCACTACTACAAGTTCTTGTATTGCAAAAGGCTTGGGGGAAAAGCATATATGTATTTATTAGTGGCTCAGTTTTATTTGGGGAGGGGAAGGGGACACGAAGTAATTCGAACTTTGAACGCGTGAGTGGGCAGTCGACACAAGTGGTGAAGACAGCCCTCAGCAAATAGGCCAGTTAACATACAGTAATTGTTTCTAATTGAATTCATTTGACTGAGTTTTAGAATCATTCTATCCATAATTTCCAGAAGATAAAAACTGACTTCAAAGTCACTTCAAAGTGCAGCTGAAAAGCAAATAAACGAAAGCAGCAAGTCGAATGAATGCTAAAAGAGAACTATAAATATAGAAGATTATAAAGTTGGTATTTGGCGAATAAGATGGAAGGAGTGAACCAAAAAATGCTCAATGTATGAACGACTGCAGCAACATGGACTACAAGTCGTATGTATGATCAGTGGCGTACCGAGGATTTCCGTTCAGCGGGGGGGGGGGGGAGGGAGAGGGGAGGGCGCGGCAAAAAATTTTTACTGGTGAAGGTGCATGGCGTCAATCACTCACTCCGAAAAAAAAATGGCGGTATGCTTCTTAAAATTTTTGCGGATCCATAACCCCGAAATTTTAGAAAAAAGGAGCGTGGCGTCAGTAACATCCCAAAAAAAAATTTTTTAAGGCTAAAATGGATTTTTAAAAATTTCAAAAAATATTTTAATTATTTACGAGTACAAACAAGTCACTTACACATTTTTATAACTCATGTTAGTAACTTCCAAAAATTTCGCGACCCATGCCCCTGCGCCCCTATCAATCAACTAGTATCATAATTCGTGCACCTGGTGCAACTGCACTAAATGCAAGTTATTTACGAGTTCACCAAGATGCGCACTTCGTAAGCTTAAGTTTGAACTCCGCAAGAGATTCTTGTTTTCATTGGCAAAAAATCAATTTATTGATTTGAGTAACCGGTTCGAGTAGATGTTTTAGGAATCAATGACTCCATAAATTTTCAGTTAGCCTTGCTTTTTTTTTCAGAATTCATGGATATAAGCTCAAAAATTTAGGCAACTTCATTAAAAATTTTTCGAGGAGGTCACCCTCACACACATCTACAGAAAAATATGTCCTCACCCCACTCAATTTGGGAGCGGCATCGATCTGGAAGTAGATGGCTTCATGGTCTGGAACGGAAGTTTACATATTTGTGACAAGGATCTTGCAGAAAATTCATGTTGTGCATTTGCACGGCATACTCCACATCGACGCATGCACATAGAACACATGTAATTGCAAGAAAAACCTGTGAATTGCAGAAATCAAAGACCAATACCAATTCTGCTCTGCAAAATTGAATTGTCGGCTCAAAGTATTAACTTTTTTCATGAAATCGCTTTCACAAGCACCCATTACTTCCAATACCCTAAAAATCAAAGAACTACCGTTTTGAAGCTCGAAAATGCCGAGTGCGGGAAAACGTTCCAAAGCGGATTAGCTGGAAATGAGCTCTTAGGCCGCGACGCGCTGCATCGAAGGACATTCTCGTTGTGGGGGAGTTGGGCAGTCGCACAGTGTTTTATAAATGATGCCAGGCTACGTCAGATTCAAAGAAAAACCTCTACGGTGACGTGGAAGGTAATTTCGAGAAAGTCAGACAGATTTTCGATGACAAAGAAGAGAAATCATCCTTGTCATGGTAGACGAGACATCGTCTTTTCAGATGAATTTTTATTTGCAAAAATTTGCAGAACATCGACAACAATTGGCCAAGGCAAAACTATCAGACAGCTGAACGCCTTATGCAAAAGTCGATGAAATGAGAGAGAGAGTGGTGGTAGGCTTGGCTCCGCCTTGAACGGGACGAGAATGCGATGATGCCCGCGCTCGACCACCGGGACACATGGCGGCTGGTGCCAGGTCGAAGTGCACACAACACAAGGCCACGTACAAAGAACATTCGACACACAAAAGCGATGAACTCGTCCGAGAGTCTTGCCTGAATAAGAAATGAGAAATTTGAGCTTTGAAAGGTGAGTGAGTTAAGTTTTCAAAAAGCTAAAGTTATAAAGTGAGAATGTGCGACGAACCTATTTCCCTGCGCAAAAAAGCGTGTTCCAGGGCGCTCCAGCTTGCCAGACTGGATGATTGGAATGTATTTAGCTTCTATAGGGAGCATTTGTAACCATTTTGTAGCCTCGGGTGATGACGGTCTCAAAATCATTTTGGGAGGGTGAGCGACGAATCCCATGGGTAACGGGAGTTAACACGATGCTGAAATTTATTTTAGGTAACTATGAATTCTTTGGGGGGCTTATAGAGTCCGAAACTGGGGAAAGGAGGAAGTCAGTTATTAACAAGTAAAATCAAAATTCATTTGCACATTTAACTCATATAGGTTACCTAAAAAAATTCAGCGATCCATTCACACACACGCTTTCCCTTTTATCCTCCTTCGTCTTCTACTGCCAGCTACGGTAAGCTTACGCTTTCTTTCAACTATCTTGGCGGCTGGAAGGCGGGGCTTCGTGACCTGTTTAAGGCTAGGTAATGATCAGATAGCACGCGCGCGGAAGAGACGCAGACTGCGTCGTGGGAGCGAGCGGCCTTAATTAAGTCACAACGACCCGCCTTCCAATCGCCAAGCCAGCTGAATCAAAGGTTTATGCGAGAGAGCGGCAGTCCTAGAAACAATTTTAGGACTAGAAGGATAACGGATAAAATTTTTATTCAGAGCAGATCCCAGATTCTTTCATAAACATTGTAGCTCTAAAATAATGAGAGACAAGAGTGTAGCGAGATCTTACTAAGCTGTGAGGTTTTGCAAGAGTAGATTTTGTAGAATTTTAATTATTTACGAACAAAAACAAGTTACATATCCAATTTCTTCGGCACCTATAAAATTTCGCTAATTCAGCGGAGGCGGTGAAACGTCATTCGGTCCGCCCTGTATAAAAGGCCAGTTTGTTCAGATTCGTTTGCAGTTCACATGTAAAACATATGAAATCAATAAACATTTGAGCCAATGGGATTATGCCTCTAGTCAAATAGGTAGAAAAATATGAGGCTCAAATCTTCGCTGATCCAAATTTCTCCGTTCCGAATTCCGAACAGAAAAGCTCTACAAAATTTGAAAACTTCTGAATTTTCCGACTATCATTAAGAGTTACTTCTATTGAAGTTAGCATCCTACTGTCAGCTCTTGAACTATTTTTAGGTGGAAACTTACTTTGTTAGTATGGAAATGTCTTTACTCACCCGTAAATCTCATCGACATGTAAAAATAATGCAATGCTGACATTGGGGAAGCTGACTAATCGAGTTCGCTGTATAGCGTGGGACTGAAAAAAGAAACACACTTCGCACACCCTCATACAATGATTTCATTCTCCTTTTTTCTTCTCTAGGGTCAATTGAAACATGCTCATTGAACGAAACTTCATTTCCACTGCTTGCAATTAGAGCTAATGATCAACTGAGACCTTTAAGGATAATGATGCTATGCACAAAGATTATCTCACCTTCTAAGTGCTTGGAATGTTTATTGTACTTTTAAGGCCGTTCTTCTTTGATTTCTTATGGTCGAACATCTCACAGCATCCAAGGATGACATTGAGATTTCCAGACTTCATTATTATTCTTTGAACTCAAGGTAAACAGCGGGAGAGGAAGTGTTTTTTTCACATGTGCAGCTCCCAGCTACCCTTTATAGCTGTCAGAGAATTTTCTAGGGCTCAAAATCGTTTTTGATCCCTGACGTTCCATTTGAGTGCACCCCTGAAATCACGAACAAAACGATCAACAGTATAATGGCGTATTTAGAGCAGGAGGGGTGTGAATGTTTTCGTTAATTTGTACGGGTAATAAAATAGCACAAATGACTCACTTTCATTGGTCAATAAGGACAATGATTTATTTAGGTTTGAACTGCCAATAATTAATTCATGTTTAAAAAGTGCAACTGATACAAAGTGGATTTTTAATTCTCGCGCCTTAGTGCTCGATAAAATCTCGGGTTATTCAGCTTCAGTAAGATATTTTTTTTTGGTTTAGATCACGCAAATAATATTCTTGCAAGCATCAATGAAATCTACGGAGAAAAAAGGCTGAATAAAATATTCGAAATATATATCGAACCAAAACGTAAAGATCTGATTCTACTCTCCGAATCATTTCTCCTATATTCGAAGTGTGCAATTTCTTGTATAGAGCAAATCAGAATGAAAACCGATAATAATTTATCGCTTGGGTATGCTTGACCGTGCATTAAAGAATGACAAACGAAGGAAGAAAATATTATCAACAATACAAAACACAAACCTTTTTCTCCCTTTTTAGAAAACTCATCAGTAGTGAGCTTGAAAGCACAGTATATAATTCTTCCTGTAGAAATACCAAAGATTCACTTTTGTTATTTTCCCAGTAATACTCTATAAATATGAAATTTCCATAATTTCTGTCGTATTATTCATAAATGGATAATTTCAATGGTTTTGTCTAACGCGTTCTTATATGGATTTCAATATTTTTTGTGGGTCAACCTAACAAATTTTGCAATTTTTAGATTCTGTGAGCTTGTTGAAATTCAATTTACATCAGAACTACACTTATCACGGCTAATTTCCCAGTGTAACAAAAACACAAACGCGGCTTCCATTGACGCCTACGTTTTGCAAATCAATGCACGTGGCTTAGACTAGGCGGCGCATGTCAAGAAAAATGTTTGCTTTAGCAGCGATTATTCCCCGTCTGAGCCAGGGGTGGAAAAATCCGCTGTAATGACTTTCATTGAATTACACAACTAGTTGACTACAGAAACTGTCACTTAGATTAGTGTAAAGTCTTTTCTCGGAAGTCATGCCTCCTACCGGCTAGTGATGTCACTGGCAAGAATCGACTAATTTTTTAAAATTCGCTTAGGTGCGGCCAAGGGTGGAGGGAATGAGAATTTGTTGAATTCATTCGAACACAGGGCTAGATATTTGTGAAAGGATTATGTTAACGTATTACTAGTGAATCAGTAATCTAAAGGTACTACTTGGAGGAGAGTTCGCTTCGCCGCCATGCGGTTTCTCGCTATTTGCATGTTTTTGAATTGAGTTAACGATTCTTTATATACAAGGATTAGACCATAGTCATGATGCCGTAGTAATTCATCCTATAAGTTACTACAAGGATTCTTTTTGAAATGCTTCAAAAACGTTTCACTTTATATCATATTTTCGGATGTACAGGGTGTCCCAAAAAAATACACACTTTTCAATCGCTAATATCTCTCTTCCCAATGAGTCTTTTTCTGCCATTCAAGTACCATTCTGTAGAGGTGACTTTATAGATTTACAGTATCGAGCAGATCACCAGTCATCCTTCACTACTGTAGGATTACCGTAGAAACTTCGACAAGGATTTCAGGTCATTGCAAGCCATATTCTGCCTCAGAACAAAACCAAACAAGTCAAAAACTATTATGCTAGGGTAACGGAAGCCGCTCATTTCGAATAAAAATTTCCGCTTTACTGTGATGCTTTCCAAAGTTAACCTAGGTAACCTAGCATTCGTCAGAAATGTGATTACACTGTCAAAAAAGCTGAAAACACTCGTAAAAAGTTGTGTAGTAGAATCAGCGTGTGCGAAAACGCCAGTACACAATTTTTCAGACTTCTCGAAAAAAATTCGTCAGATGGCAGCATATTTCACCATGATTCCACATGATGGAACTTCTTACCGTAATCCTACAGTAATGAAGAGCGATCGGTGATTTGCTCCATACTGTGAATCTAAGTTGATGCCTCCTCCACAGAACGGTTTTCGAACGGCGGAAAAAGACCTAGTGGGAAGAGAGATATTGACGATTGAAAAGTGTGTACTTACTTTTGGGATACCTGTATATTTCTTCACAGCAATATAGTAGATTAGGCAAATCCACCAAAAGTGCCGGCAGATATGAAGTACATTAAGTCGGCGAGAATTTCAATATTGTTGGAAAAAGTGAGGCAAAAGACCAAAAAGGATTTCACTACTTCCTTTTCGACATTCTAGCATCTTAAAAAGTGAATAAAAACGCTTCGAGTTTTTTTCTTCTTATCAGCTTGTACCATCGCGATATGCGCTATCAATAACTTTCGCTTAGGTCTACCATTTGCTATTCCCTTCCAAAATACATCAAATCAAAATAATTCAATGAAAACTGAAGGAGATTACGATTTCTAATGTTTTCGGCAGAAGACACGTTGTTCGATACTTCATTACCAATTTATAAACGCGGAAGAGGGGGCGCGGGAGCGGTAAGAAAGAACTATTTGAACTATCGAATGTTTTTTCTAGAAGGAGATAGAATTCTAGAGTTGCAGATACTGAGAGCTCATTAATGTGAGAATATGCAGAGCAAAGCACTCCCACACTGCACTCAGAACATCAAACATTTCCAAAAACACTCTTTTTGAGAAGAATACAAACTTTCTAATTTTTATCTGTTACGAATTACAATTACTGGACAATCATCAGCTGTTCGCAGCCAAACTAGTTGGAAGAGAAAAAGAACTCAGCGAGTTTGAGTAACGCAGCTCGTTGCTTTTTTTTCCAGCGCATTCCATCTTTCCACAGCTTCTCCCGCCCACTTCCGGAATGTTTTTGCTCAGAGATATGTAATGTGATATTTGCACTTTCCACAGGCCCGCATGTTCAACAAAAAATCATTATTTGTTATTATTTGGCTTATTTGTTTTTAGGTCAGGTGATCAAAGCTGCGCCAAAAATGGAAACAAAAAAGAAAGCATCAACAAATATTAGAAAAAAGGAATTCAGGACATCCTTTAACGGGGTGATCAGATCAGGTTCCCGATACGCAAGATGAAGAACCCTCGATCGAATTTTGGATTCGTGAATTCTGATTTCCCTTCAGTCTGAAAAAAATGTGTTGATTTACTTTTTTCATATTTTTTCCCCTACATAAAAATTGCTCGAATCAGAAATCAGATTACACAGAATCACTTCTTTTGAAGCAACTGTTTCAATTCTTGAGTAAAAACTCGTTTGCGTCAGATCTAGCATCTTGCAATGGGTTGAGATATAGAGATTTGCGTTGCTAATCTATCTTCCTCAATTCAAAGCGTGGAATGTCTGAAATATCGTAGACTCGTCTGAAATGCACGTGCTAAGGCTATGAAGATAACGCAGAAGGAGATTATTGGTTTTTGTTCTCATATCAAAGTGACAAGGGCCTGCAAATCTCAAATCTAATGAACACTTTTG